GGCCAGTCCACAATGGCCTTGACCTTAGCGAGATCCCCTCGATGACCACGCTTCCCAATGAAGTACCCTGAAAAGAGAATTTCTTCCGCGACGAAGATGCGTTATCGGCATTCGAATACAGCCTAATAGTGCGCATGCACTCGAGCACAGCTCTCGAATAGACGATATGGTTTTCAAATCTTTCCCCCGTGCCCCGCACGACAGTGAACACCGATGTCGACAACAAATGCCGGTGCAAACGCCCAATGGAGGCTGAACAATTGCATCACAAGATGATTGACTGTTGCTGGTGCATTCAACAGACCTTAGGGCATCACCAGCCACTATCAGCGTATCCCGCTCGAAGTACTCACCGCGGTCAGCGGAATATCACTCGCTCTCATGAGCAATTGGTAATAAGCATCGACCAAGTTGAGTGCGCTGTACTTCGTACAGCCAACCATATTGTTCTGGAGATCATCCTTTCCTGGATTTGGCGTTTGTGCCGGAATGGTGGCAGCGTTTACCTTATTATAAGCGTGAAAGATACACCACTTGCCGTTCGGCTTCCGGACACAAAACATGGGTGTCGAATGGGGAGGCTTACTTTCAGGCACCATTCGTGCATCGTGCTTCACACGAAAAACGGCGTTAATGACATCCCTTTGCTCTTTGTGCAGAGGCCATTGGCGTGTTACGCAGTATTTGGTTCCCGGAACCAGGTCAATTTCATGACGCACACGTCGGTCCGGAGGTAGGACCGATGGCTGGTCTTTGAAGACTACGTCTTAGAATTCCGTTACCAAAGGATAATACGGATCCGAAGGATCATCAGGATCGATGATCCACTTCGTGCGCTCAGCACATTCTTAGTGTCCTCCAGGACAGCTTCATCCTGAAGCAACGACAAGTTAATCTCTTCGTTCGGTCTTATAATGACCACCTCTGCTTAGTTGCCTGCCTTCAAGGCACCGCCAAACGCTTCGAAGAACATCTCGTCCAGCTCAAGGAGAGCATTCACCGCGGGAATAGCCTCGAGGTTGACGTTGCCGTTATCCATCCCCGTCATACCGTTGACAAGGGCATATAGCGGTGCGCTATCGTCTACGGTAGACACACCCTGGATCAGGGTCGACGCCCTACGTCTTGCAGATATCATGCTACTTCGTCGTCTCCACTCTATAGAGGGTTTACGCCATATCGAGACGAGTGGAGACACGCACTCGGCGTCATCTAGTGCCCTCACTTCCTGCTCTAACGGAGCCTTGTGTCATTAGCAGCATCCGACGAAGAGCTGCTATTTGTCCAGTGGATAACGTGCCACTCCACGCATCAGAAGGGCCTTGCCTAGGATGCCTCAGGCCTCTTCCGACCATGCCACTCTTTGCATGCAGCAACTGCTTCGAAACGTGAGAATCGCTCAGAGGATTACGTGCCACTCCACTCCCATCACGAAGGTCCTCGCCCTCGATGCCTAAGATATCGTCCGACCATGCCATTCCTGGCACGCAGCTGCTTTGTAGCGTGACCATGCACATTGGGTTACGTGTCACACCACGTCCGGCCTTGCCCTTGATGCCTCGGACTTGGCCGACAATGCCACTCTTGACATGCAGCGACTGCTCCAATACTTTGGTAGCGCTCAGTGTGTTACGTGCTACTCCACGTACAGCCCACGAGCCACGCTCGAGACTCTTGTGCAAAACACCTTTGGTGTTTGACAGCTCCAATATCTCAATACTAGCACATTGACCGTCCTGGTCAATGCCCGCGCTAATAGCGCTTCTGCTCCCTATCAAAAGTGGATTCATGAGTCACCACAGCTCCACTAGGAGACGTGCGCGTAGCGCCCAAGTTCTTCGACCTCCAATCAGTTCATGGCTCACAGTCTTCCAACCATGTCATACTAAGGATAAACTCATACTTTGAATCCAAGTCCAAGACTAAGCGGCGTTCCACGCTATTAAAGTCAAGAAGCTTGACACCGAGATCCAAAGGGACCCTCGGCGCAGTGACACAAGTCTTCGTTGCTAATCGAACAGTGACGGTGTCACTCAACCGCGCTTCCAGCACCTCAGCATACAGCTGACTTCCTTCGATCGTACAGCATCTAGCATAATTGCCGGACGCACCAGAATCGATAAGAATTCTAAATGACTTCTCAAAGCCCTTCTCGGTCGCTTTTACAACCAGCAAGCCCGACTTGCACACACGTTCCGTGTTAATGAGCACGCAGATCTTCGGGGCTGGGCCTTGCTGTCTTCTAACTCTTCGAGCTTCAACAGAACTCAGTTCTTACCCAGAACGGCGCCCCGCGCCTACTGGGTGCTCTCGCTTCCCCGCGTCAAACCAGATTGGTTAGAAGCAGGACGTCGGTTCGACGAACTTTAAAGCGCCTTGCGCAAGGGACAACCCGTCCGAAGGTGACGAATGTCCCCACAAACAAAACACCGCTAGGTGTTTACACGCTGCCCAGCAGCTCGGAGTCCTCCCTCCTCCTTCTCAGCATAGCTGAGATCCATTGACTTAGGCCTGCTTGACGAGCTATGAGGGTGTGCATTCCAACAACGTCGTGCGAACATGAAGTTGGATATGCCACATTTTCTGTTTCTTTAAAAGAAGGCGGATGCACACGGAAGATTCTGACCATGCCAGTGCGGATGCCTTCCATAAAGACGTTCACTACAACCGCCTCGGGGAAAGGAATTGCTGCCGTCCCGGCAAAAGAAATTCTCAACTCCTGGACAAAGATCATTACCTCCTTCTTGCTCTGTCGGGCAGCAAGGAAACGCGATCTCACGCGTTATGCCTGATTAAGTGGCAAAAACACTCGCAGAAGCTAATGCTTCAGCTCCTTCTAGGAGGGGAACGTTGCTTCAACCAAAGCACCGCACGTTAAAGCTCCTTCTCGTGCTTGACCCCCGAGCTTGGGGATAGCTATCACCACACGCTGTTGATCGTTTGGAAGCATGGCGGATGCCATAGCCATCTCAGCCTCTCTTACTTAGAAAAGAAGATTCTCTCAATTCTTATCATCAGAGATTTTAACGCTCACCATGAGCGTCCTGGGTCGGAAGAGATCATCCTTCGTCGATGGTGGCGTCATTGACGCAGTCGACGCTGACAGCTTCTGCTGTTAGCGCTAGGCACGCGCTCATGGCCTCGGGCCCTTGCGTGACGAACTTCTTCACGCCGAAAGGGCTCAGCAGGGACATCAGCTTATTAAGACCGTCCTGCATGCCCTGGGGCAGCTAGGAGTATTTACCCATCCTCACAGGGAATGGGTTTTGGATATTGGCGGCAACTAAAACAATTAAATACGGTTTCGTTTCTGAAATAGAAGTGTTGGTTTGCCTTGGTAGGGCTTTAGTACTTAGAAGTAGCGGGTTGCGACCCGCTACCCCTGTACTGGTTCTTAAAAGAACGTAAGGTCGGTGACCTTAGCTTAGCTTTCTCTAAGCAAAGTGCTACGGCAGCCACGCTGCACTTGGTAACAATCGCAGTCAATCTACGCATTAGTCGTTACGACTCTAGGTTTTCCTAATTAATATAGTAATATCTGAACAATATAGCAAAACCTAATTAATATAGTAACATGCACTACTATTGGCAGGCATCCTCGACAATCTGAAAGCGCATCGTTACAAATATTGCCGATAGTACGCACGACTCAAATTAGATCGGAGACTTGGGTACCGAAAATCGCACGAATTCCAGCTGCAACATATTTTGTTACTTGGACACTCCATACGGTCCCTTCTTAACCTCACCTTAAGAAAATATTGACTTGTAAAGGATTTATCAAGTTTGAGAAGCAAATTTGAAGTCAGCTTCCTACTGGAGTATATATATAACACTAGATACGATTACGGGATTTTTCTTACAACTGCATTGCCTGCAAAGTTGTCAAATGCAACTGCATCATTTTAGTAGTAAATTTCCGTTAGTTTTTCTTGTAAAGAAGAACACTGCAAATATATTAGCAACATGTCTATCTACGTTCGCCCTTGTTGCTTTCTCTTTATTTCAGTATCATAGGGTCTGTTGGAATTGGCTAAATTTTACGCAGAATAAAATTGTACTGTGTATGTGTCGCAGTAGGTCGCTGATTACATCTCACTATGAGATATTTCAAAACGTTATTTGCGTCTAAAAGAAATCATTTTAATTTCGACATTTTCTTACGCTACGCCTCAAGCAAGCAAAGGTTGATAGCTGAATTATAATGCCAAAGAGATAACAACAAGTCGTATTGCTTAAATGGTTTTTGGTCCGTTGCATCATCATGTTACCTACAATGCTTGAAAATTTATCAGAAATATAAACATAAAACTTCATCATTTTTGAAGGTCGACTTGTGTGAAGAATTGGATCCAAGTTCGAAAGTTCCACTGCCTCCCCGCACAGGTGATGTCTTGACTTTTAGATGTTTTGTATCAATTGCGCATAGAGCTGATCTGCACTATTTTTTACAGTGGATTTTTAGCCGGTAGAGAATCAAATTTTATGATATGGGTCTATACTTGCGTAGGTAGGCAACGGCACTTCGATTAATCCAAATTATATCAAGATCATTAAATCTTGGCTACCACATAGATGAATGCCAACTACATGAACAGATGACGTGCTGGTAGGGTCAAATTTTCGGATGATGTGGCATTTTGTTGAAAAACTGGCAATAAACAAAAAAGCAATGTTGCGCGCACGTCATATAATTAGCATAGATTGGCTGAAAGTGACCTAATGCAAAATTCAACAGTACTCTTACTACTTCAGATAAATACATGATAGCTCAAATTACGTCTCAAAAAAGCAGTATTTTTGCTATTGCCACGAAGAGCTGCATGACGAAGTCATCACACATTTTCTCTTTTTAGCCTGATCTCTTTGTTCTCTCCTTTGTTGGAATACCGCGGTTTTTGGGGTTACTCCAGTTTGCCCTCGTACTTAACTTATCTGCTAAATGAACTATCGAATTTCGAAGGTAGAATTTGATTAAATCTACTGTCTTCCAAGTCATCATGGCGCAACTCCTTCGAGCAGCAGCTAATGGTGATCTTGACAAAGTCATAGCATTACGCGGCAGCTGGGGCTTTCAAAATAAAAAGGGCGAGTCTGGTACGCCTGATCAAAAACTATTTTAAAGATATCACCTACGTGTTATTCTGATCGCCTTTGTCTTATTAGTGCTGCATGTGGCAGTAGCCGAAGATCAGCTCGAGATTGTGCAGCATCTCGTTTGCAACGGGGCTAATCTAAATCTACAGGAGAAGAAGCACCGCTTTACGCCGCTTATGCTGGCGCTAGCTCAGCAACCAATGAGATTTGAGGAAATTTTTCATGCCTTGCTCAAGGGAAAACCCGATCTGAGCATACAGAACTCGTCTGGCCAAACAGTGCTGCATCTAGCCGCAGGTTTATTTATGATGCCGTCGTGCTTTTGGTCGAACAGCAACTAAAACATTATGCCGTGATGCTATAGAGTATGAAGAAGTCGAGCCGCTAAAGCTGCTATTACGAGCAAAGCTCAACGTGGACTTACATGACGATCAGAAGATGACAGCGCTTCATGTAGCAGTAGGAAAGCAAAACGTTGATATCGTACAGCTACTGGTCGAATCTGGTCGTGCTAATGTTAATGTCGTGGACAGCAAGGGCAATTCAGCACTGTACGTTGTCTTGTCGATCACTGAAACAAAAGGGTGTAGCACTCACGTAGTTAACAGGCACTGGGCGTGTATGAAGAACGGTGACGACCAATTGGAGCTGCTCAAATTTTTAATTTCGAAGGTTTGAGCTGAAATTATAAAACCTCCTCACAACAATATGGAAATTAAAGTTCAATTGAATAGGGTGCAAAACCTCTGAAAAATAGTCACGGCAACACACCGCTGCACACAGAAGCCATGCACTGCGACCCAAGTGCGAATTGGCCGACTGCCGCAGCAAATTTGCTAGTTACTGCGTTTCCAGACTTAAAAGATGGAGTCAACAATCGTGGATTGACTGCACAACAAATTTTTGAACACGATATTGATACAGAAGACCCAGTGGAAGTCAAGTCCAATACGCAAAAAGATTGTCGGAGCAAAAGTAATGATGACGAGCTGTATCAGTATAATACGGAAGCAGTTCGTGCTGGTGCGTTCGAAATGTGTTTGATACTTGATTGATATACGCTCAATTAGATGATGTAAATTGCAGCTGCTATCGCCCACTCTAAAAAGAAGACCACAAAGAAAATTACCAAGGAAGGCAGTGGCATAGCTCTGTACATGTGGATTGCCGTGCTTTTAGCGATCATAGCTATCTGGTACGCTATGTATTGGATTTAGATTAGATGCAGGCATCAAAATTCAAATGAAGCGCAATCGAAACGCTCAAAAACTATCTAAAGACGAAACGGATTCATCACTATGGTCCTCTTCTTCAGCCTCCTCTTCATCATCTTCACCGACCTCCGCCTCGTCTTCAATAAATCGGTGGTGGCCTCTAGAACGCCCAGCAAATTCAATCTCTTCATCCGAATCGGTCTCACCTTCGTACAGATCTACGCCATCTTCACTTTCTTCGTCGTCGTCTTCCTCTTCTGCTGATCCTTCGACTCCACTCAGTTCACTACCGTCACCATCAACAACCAAGCCTTTTAAATTGCCATTCTCATCCACGTCTTCTTGATCTAAACGACTTGGAAAGTCTAGTCTTCCGTTAAGATCAGGCAAGTCCAAACAAATGTCATCCTGATTGCCGTCGAGATCGTCAAAAACATTCGACAAAAGGATCTGCTGTACCAAGTCAGTCTTGCGCTCCAGGTGCCAGTGCTGACATAGATGCTTTACCAGAGCACCAACATCACGCACGGTCGACAAACTCTCCAACAGTGGATGCAGAAGTTCCAATACTTCAGTGTTCGTTTCCATCAAAGCGACACGTCGTTCCAAAGCTGAGATCAAAGGCAGGTCCTGGACTCTCAAATGTCCATTCTCCACCGCTGATGCCATTTTATTTATTAAAACGCTTGAGTTGCCCGAGCCTGCCTCAAATACTTGAACAAGCTGCTTTGCCGTTAAATTTACACCCAATCCTTCTAAAAAGTCAACACTCACGAGCTCTGGGCAAATTCTTAGCAGGAATTGTGCTGTCTTGGTCTTTTTGAAATTCCACTCTGCAGCAAATAGTCGAACAAGACGACCAACTTCCAGCAGCTCCCACTGTTCTCGAGCAGCGGAATCAATGAGACGAGAAAATAATGATGAAACACCCTCATCGCGAGCAAAGTCAGAACCAACGTCGTCACTCTCGCTTTCTGCCGAAGACGATGTATCAAGTTGGTATGGAGGTGCCTTCTTTGTGTGGTTAGCAGGGGTTATGTGCTGATGCATTATTTGATGAGCTGGCAAAAACATGTCACTTTTCTTTGTCGCGTCTTCCGCCAAAGAAGCCGCAATTGGCGTCTGAAGTTGGTCCAAAACCTTCATTTTATGATCCTTCTCACCAACGCAATTCGTTGTAGGAGCATTAATCTTGGTGACTGCCGTGTCTTTTTCCGGCGTCGTATTTATCTTCTTAGGCGTTGCCGTCGTACTTCCCTTTGTTGTATTAGTTTTGCTAACCTGCTGGCTTATTTTCGAGTCTGATACAATCTGTGACATTGTAAATGTCGGCATTTCTACTGACTTCCTCGTAGCATTATCCTTCAACCTTTGTTGCGATGCTGGTAGCCTCGCTACCTGCGTAGTGGCTGTACCGGATGAAAATTCGTCTGCAGATTTCTGTTCAAACGACCCGGCTTCGGTCACCACTTTAAGGGCTGCAACGCTAGTTTTTTCAGCATTCTCGCAGATCATCTGTAGTTTTTCGACAGCTTCTTTGCTGCTTTCTATTGACAAGTTTCGCAGTTTTTTTGATTTCTTCTTGGGTCTGATTGACCCACGTTTCTTGGCACTGGCCGAGCTATTGCTGATCTCAGCAGTATTTTGCGCATCCTTTTCGCTTTTAATAATCGATTTGCTCGTGTTCACCTCAGTGCCTGACACAGCCAGCACCGATATCTTGTCTTCCTTGTGAAGTGGTGTTACCTCCTGCTTCGAAGTAATCTTCTTCCTCTTGTGCACAGCTTGCTCCGCGGAGCCCAATCCGTCATCTTTTCTATCCTCTTTTTGCTGTGAGCTCTTTGTCTTCTCATACCCTTCCTGCTTGGTTTGCTTCTTTGCTTGCTCTGCCAAAAAGGCGATGTTTTCTTTCTCCTCTGAGGGTTGTTTTGAATGCCACTGCGAGGACTTCGTCGCCTTCAATTGCTTCTTATTCATGTTTTCCTTCTTTTCCTTCTTTTCCTTCCACTTGTTGAGCGGTTGCGGCAAATGATCCGACTTGCAACGGAAGTTTCCGTTCGCTATTTGCTGCTCCGAAAAAAATTTCATTTTTTTTTTCATCTTCTTGTCGTTCTCTATGATTGAGCAATAAAGTTCTTGTTCTGCTACATTTCCATCGTCTCCTTCCTCCTTATGCTGCATGGAGAGCCCTTTTACGGTAGTTGGCTTGCTTCGTTTCTCCTGTTTCTTTTTCGATTTCTTTGTATTCAGCGCTTGCTCAAATAATTCTGCTTCGTCACCGTCCTCACCTTCTTCCATGTGCTCGGTTTTATGCAGTTGCACAACCTTCGTCTCTTCTTTTACCTCATGCTTCTTCTTCTGCTGCTTTCTCTGCTTTCGAGAACATATATCTGCTTGCTTTAACAAGTCCACTCCGTCCCCCTCCTCGACATTTTGATCAAATGGCATTGGACGCCATTGCACAGGCTTTATGTTTTTAACTTTCTCCGGCATTTTCTTCTTTATTTGGTCCTTGATACTATTCAGCGCTTGCTCTAATGGATCGGCTTCGTCTTCGGAGTTTCCTTCCTTCTCTTGCTGCGTCGGATGCCATTGCAGATCTTCCGTCTCATTCACCATTTCCTGCTTCCCCTTCCGTTGCCCAAAGCCATCCATCTCTTGCTTTGATGAATCTGTTGTATCATTATTTCTTTTCCTTGCGTGCAATTGCATGCACTTTGTCTTCTTTGCATTTTCTTGCTTTTCCCTTTTCCTCTGATCTTTCACCGTGTTCAACTCTTGTTTATATGGATCCATATCTCTTTCTTCGCCCAACAACTGTGGAAAACCCGATTGCAAAAGCTTTGCCTTTTTCAATTTCTTCTTCTCTTGTATCTTGGTCGAAACGACATCCTTAACAGCTACCGTACGTGCCACTTTCTCCACATGAACTCTAGCGTCTGAAGATTTCTTTTTCTTGCTGAACTTCACTATCGGTACAAGCTTTTCCTCGGCCATATCCACAAACTTCTTACTGTGCTTCTTACGCTTAGCGTTAGATAAAACATTAAGCGTCGTTAAGCTCGGAGCTACTATATCTTGTTGCGGCGTTTCAAACATTCGGGCACCGAAATCTTCTAGCCGCTTGTGAGCGTCGTCATTGAAGCTTTCGGAGCGTCGGCGTTTCTTCGCCATCATTTAGCAAGCTAAATTTTATTGGTGGCAATGGCTAGTCATGAAAAAATACTGATGTACAAAGTACAATATTAGGGTTAAGGCTCTACGTTCAAAAGAAAACTGTAACATGATCACAACCCGAAAATCGCGCCGAAGATAGTCTTTTGCAGCCTATCGACGCTCAGCTGCATTACGAGCGAGCTCAACGGCCTAACACTACGTGAATGTGTCGTTAATGCGTCATCGTTGCATCGGCATGATGCCAGAGCCGCAGCAAAGCTTTCATCTGCATGTGTCGCGAGCCTTCGAGATGCGGTAGCTGTCGGACTTCATCGCTGAAGGTAGGGCGTGACCATTTTACATCGCCGGGACTGCAAGCAAAGTGACTTGAAATGCTGTATAAAGACCGTAAAGAGGCTTGGTGCGCTGTAACTCGTCTTATTTCTACCACGACGTCCGCAGGTGGGCTACTTTACATACCTTGGCGTGACAATTAGCGCGAAGACTTGCTTACTTCCGGCGAGCCTGCGGTTTACGCTGATGTTTACCGTTGGGATATCCATGCCTCGCACTTGCTAATTGTACACACGCAACGCGTCAAGAACGCACAGATCGCGTCAATTGTCGAGTTCGAGTGCTGAAAATCTTACTTTCTTTCTTCGACTACTTGCTATTCCAACTCTGTTTCGTCTTCTGCCGGTCCACTCGCAATTTTGGATACTAAAGGCGTCAAACCCACGCATTCGTCAATGCATCCGCGATTAAGGCGATGAAATCGAGACCGATCAGCATTTGCTCTCAGACTACATGGCTGCAAAGGCTTGTGTCTCCATTCTTCGTTGCCCAGCCATCGTGGCTTGACATAGCTCTCGTTATGAAGATGCGCGTACGCGATGAATGAAAAATCTGCGAGGATAATGCCTTAGACTTGTGGTACACACTCCGCGCAGTAACAAATCACTTCCTCGGGCCCGATCTCAATCGATGTCTGTTCGATGAAAGGCAACCCACACAAGTTCTCGCTCCAGTCCAGGCGATCTTCACGACATTTGCTGTCCATCTTCGGTTCTTCCAAACGGCGCTTTGAAGAGGAAGGTACACTTGAAGATTTCGTCAAGGTGATGCAAAAGTTTATGATGACTTTGTTTTAGGTATCGTCGGGTTGCGGGTAATTTTGAAACAGAAAAATTAAGAACCACATTTCAACTTGCGAATAGTATCCTTTTTTGCAGATTATCGAGGTGGCATCCCGGCCACTTGCCATTTGTAGAGTTTTCAGTCCCATATAGAGATGCTAGAGCGACTACAGCGACACATGTAGTTCCTTAGACCCACTCACTTCAAGACAAATTTGCCATTCACAAGTCAGCTTTACTCAGCGGACTGAGTTGTCTCCAGCAGCACCCAACATGAGGACGAGGGCATTATCCCTGTGCAAATCAGGCTAGGTGTATGCAGGTGGGCAATGCGGAGTCGGAGATGGTGTCTGGTGGAGTCATCGCGACGCGCCCGTCCCCTATCAGCACAACGTCGCAGAGGAAGCTACCGCAAAGAAGAAGTTCCGACGAGTCAAATTGATGACATGATCAGCATGAACAACAACGGCGCCGACTATGGTCAGATTAAAGACTCCGACCCAACAACTGCGACTCAGTCGGCCCTCAATTTTACTTCACCAGCATCCTTGACTCTACTCGACAACTCGAGGATAGTGACAACGGTGAGTAGACACTGCGAAAGCGATCGGCCATTAGTCAATTGTATCGGATGGACGGTAATGTACACCGTAACTAGACAAGTCGACCGCATCGACAACTGAAGGACGGCCGCAATCAGTCTTAAGTATCGCGCTTTGTGGATTGAAAACTCTGACCCAACCTGATTCCCACGAGTCACTACTGATCTAAGGCGGCAAAGCAAATTTTGTGGGGGCGCTTGACTCCTCCTGATAGTGAACTGACTTTCCTAGCGTTCAGGTACACCATTGACAAATCAGGCAGCTCTTGTAGGTCTCGAGCTACTAGGTTATCAATTGCAGAGGGCACAGCTGTAGGCGATCTGGGCTATATACTTTCAAGATGTGATCAACGCCAAGGTCTCGCAAGATGAGCGAGATAGTACGCTTCTACAGCGGGACTGTACCCAATTGTAGCGTAAAGCTCTGTAATTAGATCTTGCACAAAAATCGGTTCAGCGGAATGGTGTGGAACCATTCGCAATTGCAAAGCGTGTACTCCCAGACAAAGTTCGGGATTTTGTGCGAGGAATTAATATCTTCAGCGCATTCAAACGCAATATGCAAGCGCTCTGCTTCGCAATGCACGTGATTGAGGACGAGGATGTTTTCGTGCACGAAATAGGTTGGTTTAAAGTATCGGCGATCAGACCTGATTCGAATGATTAAGTTTGTCCGCATGGCGGGATTACCCCTCTGACGAGTTTTCGCCTGGATCCGTCATGTAACCTGGTCTGGGAGAACTGTGTATTTGAGAGACGAATCAACCACTCGAAGAAAGAGAGAGAAAGCGAAAATACGCACCGAAGATGTTGGCTGAAACGAGTGAGCAAGCAAGGATGTCCACTGGATGTTGGTGACCCTTCTGCGAGTATTTCTACTTGAAATTTGCTTTATCAGATTTAAGTTGAGCACTTTTCAAATCCTCCTATGATCTGGCTTAGTGATTCAAGGTGGAGGTTCCGATTTGTTGAGTGTTGGTTCGAGTCCCACCTCAGTCAAAGTTGTTATTACAAAAACCTTCAACTTATTGTCCCGCGAAATTATGGGTTTGAATATCTCATATCTTCATCTCAAGTAAGGAAAGACAAGTCGACAGTAAGGACAAAATATACTCGAAGACTACGCTAATGTCGTTGTGTTCATCGCTTTGAGACCTTTGTAGAATCTCAAACATGTTTGACTGTACATTAATCCTTTTACATGAGCCTGAAGGACTAGTCGTATACAGTATTAGAATTATGCCGTCCAGCAAACGATGTGGATCTAGGTCGCTTAAGAAGCTATGTGCTTAAATAAAGCATGAAGAAGCGACTACTCTCCACCGAGGTTATCTATTCCAGCGATAACACTCGAAACTGCAGTGGCGGCAGCAGCTGTCACTGTTGCAGGAGCATTCGTCCAGTTGATCCCTTGACCCGCTCGTTGAGCTACTGTCGTGTTATCCGCATCAATTGATTGACAGTGCGTGATAGCATACACCAGCTTGTCATGCATGACCTCTTTACACGAGTAGGCAGGTAGATCAATCGAAAAGAAACCTATTAATCCACAAGATAGTTAGCGATGCTGACAAAGCACAATGACGAAGACAGTAAACATACATGTGTGGGCGATTGGTAGGTACATGTCTGCACGACCTACAGCCCTGGGTAAGCCGGCAATTTTGAAATCTTGTGTGAAGTCTGCTGCATGTGTCGGCAATCGCGACCGGCCCCTAATGAAAATTACACCAGACCTTAGACCAACTCACCATGAAATCTAACATCGATACTCGTACCAGACGAAGCGCAGAAAGGATGACTTCTGTTCTTCACTAAATTTTGCCAGGACGTCCCAAAAGTAGGTAATGTGCGGATCTGTGGCGTGGCATCCGTCACCGTACACAGTGCGACGGCGTAAGAGAGCGATATCCACTGAGGCCTTTCCACAGACCAGAGTTCGCAACTCATGCCACGAAAGAATACTAAGAGTAGATGCCGGCAAGATTGTCGCCATGCCACGTAAAATGTCCCGACACACCGGTGTAAATTCTGCCAATCGATACATTTCGACAGCATGCGCGTAATCCTCTCGATCATCCCACGTGACATGCAAATGTTTCCCCCCTGGAACGAGCTCAACCGTCTCGCGCGTACTGGACAAGACAGTGAAGCTCGCATCAACAATCTCATCAAACATTGGTTCAGTAATACCATGCGCATCAAGATTGGCGATCGTATCCACTACTTGGAAGCAGCCATGATGAATCGCTTCAATATCGTGGCGTGTCACTTGTTGTCCGACCAGCAATTTCCATACAGCAGGTGCAAGATTCAAATCGAGTGGCGTTTTC